CCCGGCCCGACCTCTCCCCTTTTCACCTCGCTGGCGCGCGTGTGGAGAGCCGGGCTCCCCGGGAACAGCAGCGCGGCGAGGCAGGGCGCCCCGGCGGGGTCGTCGGGCGCGGGTCCCCGCGGGCAGCACCCCTCGACTGGCCGCGGTTATTTTTAGGAAGTCGGAAATCAAAGATGGCTGAGGTCAGGCCCCGAAAGGTTAGGGCGAAGATCGGCAGGCGGCGTAGCCCGGGGGAAAAGGGGAAACCCGAAAAAGGAAAAGAAAAAAAAAAATGTAAAAAGACCGGCAGGGCGCCCTTCCCCAGAGCCGTTCGGCCCCGCAGCGCGCGGGTGGCCGGGACCCCGGCCCGGGGGTGGGGAGAGGTCGCGCCCCTCCCCCACTCGGCCTGGGAGGGGCGCGCGCAACAGATCGCCCCCTCCGGGGTCCGCCCGGTGCGCCCCTCCTCCCCTCCCGAGAGCCCCCCACGGGCGGCGCAGAGGGTGGGGAGCCCTGGGGTCTCTTTTCTTTTAAAAGCGGCGCCAGGGAGGGAGGGAGGGGGCCTAAGTTACGGGAGGGGGACATCGGGGAGGGGAGTGGAGCCAATTAAGAAAGGGGCTGAGGACCAGGCGCGGGGAACCTTTCGGGAGTGAGGGAGCCGGAGGAGTGGGGTTAACTTTACAATAAGAGGCGAGAGGGAAAAAGCGCAAAATCTGCAAGGACGGGGAGCGGGGGAAGAGGCTGCCTCCCTCCCCCGGAGCGGAGTCCGCAGAGCACGGCTCCAGATCCGCCCGCGCCCTCGAGGGTCCCGGGGGTCCGGGAAGCGCCCTCCCGGGCGGGCGCCGCGGCCCCACTCACCCGGCTCCCCCGCCGCCGGCGCCGCTGGGGCCGCATCTGCGAGCTCTGGGGTCGGCTGCTGCGGAGGCTGCTCGCCCTGGTCCTCCTCGGAGTTGATGTGCTGGGGTTTCGCCTGCTTGCGCCTGGACATGGTGCCAGCATCGGGGCGCCGGGAGAGCCGCGGTTATTTGCCCTCTCCGCCACAAATTCCTGGAGTTGGGAAATTTACCCCCCTTCGGCCGGAACGCGCATGTCCCAGTAATTATTATTATCAATAATGCATTGCGATTTATCATGAGCCCTGACAGCTGATTGGCCTGGGTCCAAGACCTCAGAGATCATTTAAATAAGCCCTCATTGATCAGGGAGGGGCGAGGCATTCTGGGCTTTGTAGTCCGGCCCTACATGTGACAAAGGCGTGTTCATCAGCGGAGCGCAGCTAATTAGCATCCTGGCTGAGATTGGCTGGGCGCGGACGAAATGAGAGGGGACCCATCCTCGCTCCAACCCTCGAGTCCTCGGGGGAGAAAAGAAAAAGGGGGGAAATGAGCGCTTGCTGAAGAACGAGGGGTGCGCCTAGAAGTAGTGTGCCCCCAAAATTGCTTTTGTGAGGTTGATATCCACCAGCTGAGGCGGGAGGTCTTTTCACAGTGGAATACCTGGGTTCAACTTTTACATCTACAAAAACAAAAACAAGAAAACCTAATATGGGATCTGTGTCTCCTTCCTTCTTTCTGATTGAAATATTTAAACTGAATGTGAGACCCCTGAAGAATGGTGACCGGGGTTTACTCAACTTCCCACCCATCGCAGCCCTTAAAGTGGCCCTCGACTTTTCCACATTTCACCTTGGTCTTCGCCATGATTAATCACCTCTGAACGGGTAGCTACGGTCCCCGGGATTCTAATTCACAAGGATCAGTTTGTTGTGATAGTGTGGACTTTTTTGGGTGAAACTTCAAAATGTCTGGCTGCTAAACATAAAAAAGGCAGATTAAAAGCAAGCATAGGGATACTATCAAACATTTTTTCCTCATGAGCCATGAATGTCTGATAACATCGTATTTTATTACTGAAACAATGCTTTTACATCTCCCTTGGAATAGCAGGGAGGACTGTCAGAAGCTGAGCGTTACTGACGGTCATTGGGATTTTCTGCAGTGCAGACTTTATTGCAGAAAGGATATATATAGTTAGATCGTATCCTAGGGTAGGGACGCCATGAATTTTCTAAAAGGGTGTGTGTATCATATTTACACCATAAATCTATGTAAATTAATCTGGCTAACTGCCTTACACCATGTAAATGCTCAATAAATGTTAAATGAATGATGAAATCTTCAGCCTTCCAAGTCTGGCGTTCCCGGGAGGCCCCTGGACAACTAACTTTACCTAACATTTACCTCATTGTAAGAGACTGCAAATATAACCCCTTCCTCCACATCAATGTGCACCGCATTTTCTTGATTAGTTATTTGCCAAGTTCCTGGCTTGCAAGAGTTGCTGGTAAGCTCATCAGGAATGCGAGCCGTATAGACTGCTGGGCCCGTAAATGTGCTCACCTGGGTGTTTGGACAACCCGAAACGAAAAATAAATCCCCTTGATCCTGTTTTTGGTATTGGAGGGTATCAAGGTGAACTTACTGGAAAAAAGGCTGTTTCAGTTTTTTCAGTTTTGCTAGAAAGTGTTTTGCGTTGTTTTGTGTATGCCGTCTAAAATGAATGAGAATTGTAGCCAAAGCCACAGCACAACTGGAAAGGTAAGAGTTTGTTTTAACATTACGTAGATGGGGTTTAGAATTCTGATACTGAGTAAAAGCGCCAATTAACGCTTGCCTCGCTGGTTTACTGACATTCCCAGCACCTTTTCGGTGTAGGGTAGCATGGTGGGAGATGTAATTTACAGTCTAAATGAACGAACAGTAAAAATATCCATGGTTTAAGGAAACCTTCGCTTAAAGTACAGTTGTTGGTATTCATTTATTAATAAGTGATAGTTTAAACATGTGAGCCATTTCTGCGTAGAACAGGAGTGGGTCAGAGTGTGGCACTGGAATTTCCAAGTGAAAATAATAATAACTGATTGCGCTGCAGGTCAGCGCCGCAGGCTACGCACAAAGCACGTGGCTGCTTTTTTATCTTCATAAGCCGGCACTGTGGTTTTATCTATTTTGAAAATGAGGAAACTTGCCGGGTGTGGTGGCGCATGCCTGTAATCCCGGCACTGCAGAGGCTGAGGCAGAAGGGACTGCAGCAATTGAAAGCCAGCTTAGGCTACCAAGTGAGTTCAAGGCCAGCCTGGACTACATAATAAGAGCCTGGCTTAAAAAAAAAAGAAAAGAGAAAGGGGAAACTGAGACTTGATGACATGAAGTGACTTAATGAGGAAACCGCTGAGTTCTGGTCACTTCCTAAGCCTGACTCCAACATTTTTTCTATCCCATTTCAATACCTATGATCCAGCTGCACTGACGGTAGACAAGATATCTGAACAACAGCAAAAACTGTGATACGGTAGGCATATGCTCAATTAAAACGGCCCCAGAAAGATCTGGGCACTACGAAAGCCACGCCAGCCAGTGCCGAGCAGTCTCCCTCAGATGGCAGCCTCCTGTGAATGTCACAACAGGACCAGAGCACAGGACATATTTTTGTCAATCACAACTCAGGAGCTACAACCTAGAACAGGTAGGTGGGAATGACAGAACCCAGAGCAAAGTGGACAGTGCACGAAAGACGCTGGGGAAGACCTGTCCCTCACCTAAAGTTAGTCTTTGATTATTCAGAATTCTGTCAGCAAGCAAGCAAAAACTCGGGGTGGGACCAGATTCAGAAAAGAAAACTGATCAGAATAAAAGATGATTATTAAACTTTTGTTGGTTTGGTTTTTGTTTTTTTTAGGTGTTTTGTTCTGAGACAGGGTCTTGCTGTGTAGCCCAGGCTGGCCTCAGACCCAGTACAGTCCTGCCTCAGCCTTCTGAGCGCTGGGATTACAGGTGTGCGCCACCACACCATGCCTAGCTGATTATTCAACTTTTTATTTTATTTTATTTTTTGGTACCAGGAATTGAACTCAGGACCTCATGCTTGCCAGGCAGGCACTTTGCTGCAGAACTATATCCCTGGCCCTGTTTTAAGCTTTTTAAAGCTGTCTTTTGTTAGATGATTTGGACTTTTTATTTTTTTGTCTTTTTGGGACAGTGTTGGGATTACAGGCATGTGCCACCACGCCCAGCTTGACTTGGATTTTTAAATCCAACCATTTTAATGTTTATTTCAGGGAAGATTATTTATTTATTTATTTATTTGGAGACAGGGTCTTGCTGTGTAGTCCAGGATGGCCTCGAATTCACAGTGATCCTCCTGCCTCAGCCTCCCGCGTGCTGGGATTATAGGCGTGTACCACCACACCCTGCTTATTCATTTTAATTTCTATTTTTTTATAGGGAAGAATTTTTGGGAAATGTACTTGTTGGGATATTTTTCAGCAATCTAGAAACACGGAAGCCTTACTGTTGTTAAAAAGGTTGAGGATGCAGAACCCTACTGATCTTCATTAGCGTTTTTCCTTCCCATTTCATTGGTGCAGAAGCTAAAGCACATAGCTCGCATTGGCACCTTGAGTACTGACAGGTGCGTGCTGAGTTGTGGACTGGCGCAGTCTCCAGCTCAAGTGTGCGGGTCTGGGGTGGGCAGATCTGATTCCACAAACACCCCTCTGTTCCTCTCTGCTCTCTGCCAGAGCCGCCCTCCTTCCGATGTCACCCTCTGCCCTGGTCCAGTGGCCCCTCCTACGAAGCCTCTGTCTTGGGTCACGTCGCCCTCCTTAAAACCAGCCTTCCTGCTTCCTAAGTAAGGGTCACCTATTAGTGTCAGTTCTAGAAGCCGATGTTTTCCTTTCAAGCATTAGGACAGATTTCATTGTATACAGATGGATCCTGATGTATGATGGTTTGACTTGATTTTGTTTCTCTACAATTGTGTGAAGGCGATAGCATTCAGTATAGGCTGTCCTTCAACTTTTGATCTTCTCCTAGGCTAGCCACACATCAAACAATACTTTTTTCTTCTTCTCCTTCTTTGTTTTTTTTCCGGTACTGGGAATCAAACTCACGACCTTGCACTTGCCAGGCAGGTGTTGTGCCGCTGAGCTAAATCCCCAGCCCCCTTCTTCTCCTTCTTGAGACAGAGTCTCCCAATTCCAGGTTGGCCTCGAACTCACTGAGATCCTCCTGTCTCAGTTTCCTGAACGCTGAGATTATAGGTATGTGTTACCACACTGGGCTCAGATAATTTTTTTTTTTTTGAGAGAGAGAGAGAGAGAGAGAGAGAGAGGGTCTCATTATGCAGTTCAGTCTGGGCTTGAGTTCACTTTGTAGTCCAGGCTGGTCTTGAATTTGATTGATTGATTGATTGATTGATTGATTGATTTTTTTGAGACAGGGTCTCGCTATGTAGTTCAAGCTGGTCTTGAGCTCACTTGTAGCCCAGGCTGGTCTCGAACTCTCAGCGACTCTCCTGCCTCAGCCTCCTGAGTGCTGGAATTACAGGCTTGGGCCACCCTGCCGGCAAGCTCAGATAATTCTTTACAGAAACAGTAGGGAGCAGGGGCAATCACAGCTCCCAGTCAACACACCATCATGAGAGCCAGCAGTAGATACTATGTTGCAGTATTTGGGCATTATTTTATTTTGTTTTCACATGCTATCCTGGCTGCAAAATACCTCTGTCTTGCTCTTGCTCAGTTGAACGCATCTTTGAGTTGCCCATATTTTCTTTTTTAACTTCTGTGTTTATGAGTACCGGTTTACAGTGCATGGTGGTGACAGTTGTGGCGGGGAGCTGGCGCATGCCCATAACACAGCTTAGTCCTCTGTGCATCCCCTTCCTTTCCCCGCCTTCCCGGTGCTGCTGCTATTTTCAGCGTGGGGGAAGGGTCTGCTAGACGGAGCCTTAGCAGAACACAAAACTCCCAGTAAAGATAATGAATGAATGATGATGAACGGCTTTGGGGACCTGAATATAAGATGAAATGCTGAAGGCAGTGGTTGGTGGACAGATAGAATGGTGTGGCCCATACAGAAAACAGTAGGACAGTTCTTCAGAACTAAAAATAAAATTGACCCAGCAATTGCACTTCTTGGAGTATACCTAAAAGAATTGAAAGCGGGTCTCAAAAATGTATTCTTACATCTGTGTTTGGAGCAGTGCTCTGCATGATA